GCTACTTGTCCATTTGCCAAATATCTGCCCCTCATTGTTCTCATTTTTTTTTTTTTTCCAAATCAGTTTTGCCTAAGCAGATCAGTGAGCAAAATATACAATTTCTGCTTTTGTCAGAATTTTAAAAATCATTTTGTCAACTTCCTTTTTCTCATCTTGGCTGGAAAGTGCTGCTCCTAACTCAGTTTATGGAAAAAGTATGACTGCTTTTCACCTCTTGCCACTATACCTGCATATCCAGATCTGAAAGTTTTTTTTTTTTTTTTTTTTTTTTTTTTTTTTTTTTTTTTTTTTTTCTTTTAGCAGTTATACATTAATAAAGTTAGACGATTACTGTACTGGAGAGGCTATTGTTTGAAATGCAATGCTAGCTGCCTTACTTGTACCTGGGTTAATTTTAGTAATGATCACATTTTGTGAAATGCTCTACTGACTGTTTGTTTAATCATTTCAGAGTCACAAAATGGCAACGTTGAAATGAAACCTCCTGTCTGCACTGGGGCTTATTTATGCTGCTAATGGCATCGGAATCTATGCTCCCTGGACCAACCAAGCCACAGCAAACCAATGGGAAAAGGAACCTTCCTCAGGACAAGTCCTTCACAAGTGAAGGCGATGGTGATGGCTCTTTTGTCTTTGAAGCTGACGACGCCTGGAAAGCATTTCACAGCTCACTTCTCCATTTTTATGAAGTGGGTGAGCTGTGTGACGTCACACTTAAGGCAAGTCTGACTACAACTTGTACAGTGTTTGTATGCAATAGGTAACAAAGTATTGAAAACATCAGGAGATTTCTAAAGATGCTATTGACGTGAACTTTTCACCCCATGTCGGTAACAACCCATGCAATCCATACATACAAAGAAACCAAAACAAATAATTTCAGAAATTTTAAGTTTTATGTGTAAAAGAAAAAAAAAAAATGGAATGACACAGGGAAAAAGTATTGAACACGCTAACTGAAATTTATTCAATACTTCGTACAAAATCCTTTGTTGGTAATGACAGCTTCAAGACACCCCCTGTGTGGAGAAACTAGTTGCATGCATTACTCGGGTGTGATTTTGGTCCATTCTTTCACACAAACAGTCTTCAAATTTTGAAGGTTCCATGGGCCTCTTCTATGAACTTTGATCTTTAGTTCTTTCAATAGGTTTTCTATTGGATTCAAGTCAGGTGATTGGCTGGGCCATTGTAGCTACTTTTATTTTCCTTTCTTTTAAACTAATGGAGAGTTTCCTTGGCTTTGTGTTTGGGATCATTGTCTTGCTGAAATGTCCACCCTTGTTTTATCTTCATCATCCTGGTAGATGGCAGCAGATTTTTATCAAGAATGTCTTGGCACAATTTTCCATTTATCCTTTAATGAGATGGTTTGCAAGTATCGAATACTGAAAGAGCCCCACACCATGATGTTCCCACCTCCAAACTTCACTGTTGGTATGGTGTGTTTGGGGTGATGTACAGTGCCATCTGACCTCCAAGCATGGTGTGTATTATGGCATCCAAAGAGTTCAATTTTGGTCTGATCTGTCCAGACTATATTCTCCCAGTGTTTCACAGGCTTATCTAAATGTGCAGCAAACTTTAAACACGCTTCAACATGCTTTTTCTCCAGAATTGGAGTTTTGCATGGTGAGAGTTCATACAGGGCATGGTGGTTGAGTGCATTACTTATTGTTATCTTTGAAACCATTGTACCTGCTAATTCCAGGTCTTTATGAAGCTCTCCATAAGTGGTCTTGGGCTCTCAGACAGCTCTTCTGATGATTCTTTTCATTTCTCTGTCAGAAATCTTGCGAGAAACACCTGGTCGTGGCTGGTTTATGGTGAAATTATGTTCTTTCCCCTTCCGGATTATGACCCCAACAGTGCTCACTGGAATATTTAGAAGTTTAGAAATCCTTCTGTAACCAATGCTATTCTGTTTTAATTGGAATGGATACTGCGCTAAGTAAACCTTTTTTAAATATTTTATACAACATACTTATGCACTATGAAGACCCTCATACCTCCTGAAAGGCTATCGAGAATAAAAATTAATTTGAACTGTGTAAATACACTAATCACAAGTGTACGTAAAGAACTGTGAAATATGGTCAAATCAACATTTTGGATATCATACAACTTACATATGCCCTATGAAAACCCTCATACCTCTGAAAGGCAATCAAAAAATGGAAAGTGAATTAAATAATACTGTGCACAATATACTAACCACAGGTATACATGAAAAACTGTGATGTATGTAGACAAGTGTCATTCAAAAGACCTTCCTCTGTTGTACTGGTCATATCACTACTATATTAACAGATTAATTGATTCCCCCCCCCCCCCCCACCTTATCTGTTTGCATGGATTCCATGTTTGACAGTTGTTGGCATGATAACTCGTTTATGGATAAACCAGCATAAGAGACCTCTGTTAAACTTTTGGGCACCTAATACACCGTATGTCCTAATATTTTAGCACTGTGCCAGCTAGTCTGTTAAAGAATCTAGTTTATTTTCCTATCTCAAAATTCTTGGTTGCATACTGCTGCTTATGTTTTTATAACTATAGAGAAAAATAGGAGTCACTTTTAATTGTCTATTTTCTCCCCTTTTGCTGCTCTTGGTGTGCTGTGTACTTTGTCCAGGAAGTACACGACTTACCAATTTATTCTTATCTTCTTGTGATGTGTAAGCTACAGTATATATTTATATTGCGGCAAGCTACAGTATATATTCATATTGCGGCAGTCTGCTTCCTGACTTGGTAGTGAGAACAGTTTGAAATAAAAAAGCTGGAGACAGCATTTTCAAAGGAAGAACAACTTCTTTGCTAGTATGTTTGTTTTTTTTTTCTTAAAAAGAAAATTGCAGGCACGAGTCTGGAGCAGATATGCATGGAAGCCAATTTTATATAACATCTTCATCTTTAAGACATTCATAAATAAGCTTTGAAAATGGAAGAGGATTGGTTGCCATGCACATCTCCAAATTCTGACTGCTCCAGTTTTTTATAAATTTGCCCCAAAGCATTTTACAGGGTACTGAGTGATTGTGCTCATTCAGTGTTTGGTGCTCTTGTACAAATGACATTCTCTATGTACAGTACATGACTCTCTCTTTGCATTCACTTTGTATCGCTTTGCTGGTGTTTAGAATTTAGAGAACATAATTTTAAGACTGCAATTTTGTTTTCTTGGAAAAGCTGAGGATGTTAATTCAGAACTTCTATAACTTTTTCTTGGTAACTTATTTACTAACGAACACTGACACTATCTTTTGTCAACCTTTTTTCACATTAAATTTGCTTTAATATTAAACCACGTAGTTGAAGAGTTAAATGGTTTTGAAGATGCATGTGTTATAAAGGTTCTTAATCAAAGGGAACAACTTACAACCATTTTCGTGCAAACCTTTTGTTTTAAAGCCCCCCCCCCCCCCCCCCCCAAAAAAAAAAAAAAAAATTGCAGCGTACCGGTCATAAGATTCAAGTGGTTGCATAATTGTTTTTTCCTTTAAGGCTAAGAACTTTTTCATCAAGTACGGACAGCACCTGTTGATCTTGCCAGAAATGCAGTGTTCTTAGCACTATGACCTGAGAAAAGCACAACCATTCCCATGTTTGTGTAAACTACTAGTCCAAATATTCAACCATGTAATGGAGGTGAAGAAAGGAAGATGTGTTAGTGTTACTAAACCCAGGACCCTGCATTCACTGTAACTGGTCTCCCACAGTACACACAACATGAAAATGCAATTCTATTAGTAAATATAAACTGCTAAATACTTTACTATTTTTTTTTTTTTCCTCTTCCGCAGTATATAGCAGTCTAGTGACTTATATCAGTGTCCAACTGAGCACTGGTTAAAGCTTGTAGTAGGAGTTTTCTCCTCTGACTGTCCTGTGAGGCTGCATAACCCCCCCCCCCCCCCCCCCCCCCCCCCCCGACCCTCTGTCTGGACAGTGCAATACACACCATACTAAGCATTTGCAGAGCATCTTAGGGTTAGGGCTCTGTACCAGCAGCAGATGAATTGGGGACAGTCGAAGGGGAGGATCAGAGAAGACAGGATCAAACAGCCTTTTTACACTAAGCAAAGGATTTAACCCCTTAGGTTCCACACTGCGTATAAAAAGCACGCTTTACTGTATATACAGACTGCTTTTCCTGATGTGGGGTTTAGTAACACTTGAAAGACCAGCTTGTGTGCTGACCATGGTTCTCTCCATAGATAGAATGGAGAAAGAAGTGTAGACATGAAGGGACAGAAAATGTTGAAGGATGGAGACGGGGGGTGGGTTGTGAAGAAGAAAAAATGCAGCCATTACATTTTAAGGATTGATGGCTGCAATTTTTTTTTTTTTTTTTTTTTTTTTTTTGCTTGCTTGCCTCTATCACATGCTGTGTTCTAGCTCTTAAGTAACCGTATTGTTTCAGACATAGTGCCTTGCTAATGTGCATGTTCCTGTTGACTACAAAGCTGTTATGTGAAAGTTGCACACACTGAGTTCATGCAGAACAGTAAGCCCTGGTTCACACTGGGTCCGATTTTGAAAGCATGTGACTTCAAGTGAACTCGCACGATTTCAAAGTCTGATGGCAGTGCAACTTGATGGACATCTGTGTGACGTCTATGCAAGTCGCACCCAAAATCAGCAAAAGTAATGCAAGAACTACTTTTTAAATCTGTGCAACTTTAACAGAGTTACACCAATTAGAACGATTCCATTGCTGTGACATTGGATGTGACTTGTCATGCGATTTGAACAGTCAATTTGCATGACAAATCACATCAGTGTGAATGGGCGCTTGGTGTCCAACTTTAGGTTGCATCCTATGCCCACATCCTAGTGTCATCTCCAGAGTCTAATTTACCGATGTTTATATGCTGTTGGAAAGATCCTGAATGAATAACGCATGTACACAAGTAAAATTTCTAATCCTCTTTAGCAGACTGAATTCCTGGTGAATTAGTTTTTTTGGGGTTGTTTTGAATGTGTTTTTACAAGCGTTTTGTGAAAGTTTTTGCATGTATTTTATGCTTAAGGCATTCTGGATTGAGTAAGGGGAGGAGACGAGTTCTCAAAGCGCGAAAAAAAAAAAAAACCCACACGTTTTACAGGTGCTCCTATTCAGTCTGTGGTGCCAAAAATACTGAAGGCTCCATTCACACTTGGGCGTTTCCAATCGCAGGCGAGATCGGCACAATTCTGCCTGCAATTTAAAAACTTGCTATAAAAATGTGAAACCGCGTGTTCAGGTGTCGTTCATGTCAAGGGCACCTGAACATGTGGGGGCGTTCTTGCTGCAATCGTGACATGTTTTTCCATGCGACAAATGTGCCGGGATCGCGCAAACAATCGCTGAACCATGCAAACAAAATGGGATGCACGATGCCCAAAAATTGTTGCATAATGCCTGAACAATTGGCATTACATTTATTAGAAATGCTTGGAAATTGTTTTGTTCATCACTTTTGCTGTATTTTGGTTGGCAGACTAAGAAATGCTGCCATCTCCCAAGATGCTGTCTCCCTCTCGGTTTAGCTTTATGCAAATACCAGGCTACCAATTTGTAACAGCTCATTTCTTGTAGGAAAAGTGATTTTTAAATGTGAACTAGTAATTTTGTTTTTCAAACAAAATATTTTTTTATTTTGAAACAGGTTGGTTCGAAGTTGATCCCTTGCCACAAACTTGTCTTGGCATGCGTGATACCCTATTTCCGTGCTATGTTCCTTTCTGATATGGCAGAAGCGAAACAAACAGTAATCGAGATTCGGGACTTTGATGGTGACGCCTTTGAAGACTTGGTGAAGTTTGCTTATTCATCCCGAGTGACCCTCACAGTTGATAACGTCCAGCCGCTTCTTTATGCTGCCTGCATTCTCCAAGTGGAACTTGTCGCCAAGGCCTGTTGTGAATACATGAAGCTGCATTTTCATCCCTCTAACTGCCTTGCTGTAAGGGCCTTTGCAGAAAGCCACAATAGAGTAGATTTGATGGACATGGCAGACCGCTTTGCTTGTGACCATTTTGCTGAAGTGGTAGACTGTGATGACTTTGTCAGTATGTCTCCTCAGCATCTTTATAAGCTGCTGTCTTCTGAAGATCTAAATATTGAGAATGAAAAGCAGGTCTACAATGCAGCCATAAAGTGGCTTCGTGCCAACCCCCAGCACCATGATGCTTGGCTGAATGAAATACTGTCTCAGGTACTCCACTGTTTATATATAGTTTGTAAAGCTGGTATCCTATGAAAGTGGACACTTTAGCCTCTGGCAGAGCTACTGTTTGGATGAGGCGCTATTGAACGAGTGGAGCTAATGGACAAACCTGTGTTTCAGCCTATGAGCATTTTAAAGTATAACTAACGTGTGTGTGTGTGTGTGTTGTAATTTCAGATAATGGAGAGGGGTTAGGACCCCTGTCAGGTTTTTGCTAACTTTGCCCTGTTAGAGAGATTCACCCCCTCTTTGACCTGTTTACCGTTCTCATTGAAAGTAAAATAAAATACCAAATTTTGTGATGTCCCCGGAAGAGTAATAGAGGAGAAATCTTCCAATGGGGAAATTTACTTCTGGTGACTTAAGGGGCTCTAAGGGATTCCCTTAATTTGCAGGGATTTCCTGTTTTAGCAATGGGGCAGTAAATTATTATTATTATTATTATTATTATTATTCAGGACTTGTATAGCACCAACAGTTTGCTCAGCGCTTTACAATATAACGGGAGACAATACAGCAACAATACAGTTCAATACAAGAGGGAAAGAAGGGCCCTTCTCCATAAATGGAGGTAAATGTCCCCAATAGGATCCAGCTGGCAAAAAAACCCCAAAGAACTGACTGCTTGTAACCCTCAGTTGCTCTATCTAAAAACGCGGGCGGGCATCTCTCCATCCTGCCTTTTTTGCTAGGATGTTGCCAAGACTCTCCCTGTCGTTCCTGCTCACCATTACAAGAGCCATCTATCAAACCCCACAGAGATGTGCTTTCTTCTGCAATGGATTAAATGGCAAAGTGGCATGTGGGGATGAGCAGTAATGGCTGGGAGAGTCTTGGCAACGTCCTTGCAACAAGGCAGGATGGAGGGATGCCATCTCGGGAAGTTTTTAGCCAAGCTTCATTAGGTAAATGCATTGCTTACAGGGCAATATTCTACTATAGTTATTTCTCTACAATTGTCCCTTATCTGCATAGTTGGATTTTTGGTGAAGGTGAACTAACCCTTTTAAGTGTATTTTCACTTAAGTCTGAGAAATCATCACCAATATGTGTGTTACCATTAACGCACATAAAAACAAAGCAAAAAAAAAAACTTTCCTTTTAGATGTCTTAGAAGATGTCATGGCAGACTGCAAGCTCTTCTGAACAAGTTTAGAGTCAGAATGCCCTATTAAAAAGGCTTAGTACAGCCTGAGCTTCCTCCTTGTTAACATACAAAGCCGAAGGCAAGCTTCTAAATCTTTAACCCTTGGCTATGACTGACAGTGATCAAAACTAGTTTCATTGATAGATATCTGCCAGCACAGTACACACAGGTAATTATGGCACACACAGCTTCCCAGCCCCCTTGTGAACAAAGAGCATCAATTAGGATTTTTCAGTGCTGGACTCAATCCAAAAAGGGCCTTTGGCTTCTTGCACACTGGAGTAGAAAATGTCATGCTTTCTACTGATCTGAACACAAGTACATTGTTGTCTATAGAACAACGCACGTAGCTGCATAAATATCAGTAATACAGGAATGAGTACAGAGCTGTAAAATAAAAGTAGGAAATTTTGAGTGCAGTAATTTATGCACATATGTGGGTATATGCGTGTTTGTGTATATACACACGTATATTGCAACACTTGTAAGTAGAATAGGGTGAGGAATATTGCCCATACACGTTTATGCCCTTATATATGTGTCTTAGCAGAACATTTTTACTCAGGCATTTTCTATAAACAAGATCCTGAGTATAAACATCAATAAATCTGTGTGCAAGAGGCCTTAAAATGGCAGGCAAATATTTTTAAATATATTTTTAAGCTATGCAAGTTAGAACATGTAAAAATACGCTTTTAAGGTGACTGTTTTTAGATGTAAATAGTGCTGCCTCGAGTTCTCCTCAAGAATCCCTTTTTGTTAGTCCTGAACACTCCATTATCCGCTTTTGCCAGCATATGTTTGGCTTTATTAAATCTACCACTTTCAGGGAAATCAGGACTTATGCAGGCCATAGACTGGTTGTTTTATCGGACAACCAGAATTTTCGTGGAATTTTCGTCCGCACGAAAAATTGGCCGATATTCACACCGTTAGTGGGGCCAGCCCGTCGGCCGTTTTTTCACGGATCTTCTCGTTTTAGTTTTGGCAGTCATGCTGGAAAATCCACGAAAAACGGATGTTTTTCGTGGACATTGGTGGCAGCATCAGCAACGGGGCCGACTGACAATCCGGCCGATAAACGGCCCGTCTGTTGCGTGCATAAATGAGAACCCTTTTTTTTTTTTTTTTATTTTTTTAATTTTTTTGCGAAGGTGACCAACAAAATCAAACTACCGTATTTTTCGCTCCATAAGACGCACCTGACCATAAGACGCACCTAGGTTTTAGAGGCAGAAAACAAGATAAAAAATATTCTGAACCAATGGACTGCAGGCATAGTACAGGGATGACCAGAGACTGCGGACACAGTACAGGGGATGACCAGAGACTGCGGACACAGTACAGGGGATGACCAGAGACTGCGGACACCCCTGTACAGGGTCTCTGGTCATCCCCTGACTGTGTCCGCAGTCTCTGGTCATCCCCTGTACTGTGTCCGCAGTCTCTGGTCATCCCCTGTACTGTGTCCGCATCTGGTCATCCCCTGTACTGTGTCCGCAGTCTCTGGTCATCCCCTGTACATGTCCGCAGGGTCATCCCCTGTACTGTGTCCGCAGTCTCTGGTCATCCCCTGTATTGTGTGCAGTCTCTGGTCATCCCCTGTACTGTGTCCGCAGTCTCTGGTCATCCCCTGTACTGTGTCCGCAGTCTCTGGTCATCCCCTGTACTGTGGGACACAGTACAGGGGATGACCAGAGACTGCGGACACAGTACAGGGGATGACCAGAGACTGCGGACACAGTACAGGGGATGACCAGAGACTGCGGACACAGTACAGGGGATGACTGCTGACCTTTTGGGGAGGGAGGGGGAGCGGGTACCTGAAATTGACAGGTACCTGCTCCCACATCCGCGGAGTTGTCCTCCCTTTAGTGTGGGCAGCCAGGTGAGAAGCGCTGCGCTTTGTGATTGGTCCGCCGTCTTCTGGGACCTGTCATGTGTCCCAGAAGACTCCGTACCATTCACAAAGTGCAGCGCTACTCGCGCATGCGCACTGGGCACCCGGCTGTTAAGCCTAGAGCCCACAGTAAAGAAGCTGGCGCGGGAAGACTGTGCAGCGCTGGACCGAGGAACAGGTAAGGTCCTGCTGCAGAGCTGTGCAGCCGGCCCGGTATTCTGACGCGGCGGTGGAAATACCAGACCAGCCGCTGCATAAGATGCACTGACATTTTCCCCCCTTTTTTTGGGGGAAAAAAGTGCGTCTTATGGAGCAAAAAATACGGTATATGTGCAACTATCTCCTGATAGCATAAATACCACTATAGAGGCACAAAAAACCTTTTTAGATTTGGTTTTGTAAGATTTCTCCTGATACTTGGCACATATGCAGGCAGTAAAATTGTAAATTTAAAGCCTTTTTTTTTTTTTTTTTTTTTTTTTTTTTTTTTTTTTTGGGCATAGATCCCCTGTCAGGGTTTTATTGTAGTCTGTAAGTCTGCTGGGGACATTTATCTCTTGGTTTGTCATAGAGACCATATACTGAAAATTGGGGTTGAAAGCTCTGCGTATTTAATTGTCACTGGAAAAAAAAAAAAAAAAGGGGAAGTGGGAACACTTTTTCTGATGACTGCTGTCTGAGAGTATTTCTGTCAGGGCTCCAGGGTATGACCAGAGGTATGTGAACTGACGCAGGGAAACGCAGGCTTCAGATATGTGATAAACAATATAATTTATTAACACTAACAATACATAAACGCAGTGCAATACTAAAACATAACACAGTGCAAACGAACCAAACCAAACCACCCACAGATAACAATACATACAATGCAAGCGTCGTCAGGCAGGCCGGGTCAATAACAATCGGGCAGGTAGGAGCAGGAGGAGCAGGCAGAGAGTAGTCGGGTCACGAGCCGGGTACAGCAACTAACGGGCAGGTAGGTACAGGGGGTCAGGCAGAGAATGGTCGGGGTCACAAGCCAGGGATCAAACAGGAGAAGTCAGCAGAGGTCCGGATCAGGCAGGGTCGGCAACGAGTCAGACAGGAACAGAGGTAACAAGATACAGGGGCCCATAGAAAACCACACACCAAGGCACAGACTGCAGGTCTGGCCATCCCTTAAATACACCTGTAATCAGCCTTAGGTGTCTTGGCTGACTGCAGGGTTGAGTCTCTGATTGCTGAGAGCACCCGCTGGCCAGCCCTGGTACTGCAGCCCACAAGGCAGGTGAGTCCCACCATTACTGGCAAGTCCATTCCTGACAATTTCCCTTTACTCTGGGGAGTGGTCTTGTTGAATCTCTTGGACAGTAAATGTAGAAAAATCTATCCAATGGGACACTGATGGGGAAAAAAAGTTTCAACTTTAGGTATGTTAACTGTCAAGTGAGTACTTTATAGAATGGGTAAGGCTGCACTATGCATGTGTATAGATGTAAACCATGGCACAGCGAGATGTCCGTGTAGTGGAGTATAGGAAGACGGCACCTGCAAATGCTTATAAATAGTACAGGCTTGTGTGCTGCTATAACACAAGTGCAATAAAGGAAGGAGGAGATTGCTGCACTCATTGATCTAGTGTACTCACACACAAATAATTTAAACAAAATTGTGATGCGCTGCATCCTCATAAATTGAAAACCTATGCTCTGTTTGGCCTATTATAATCTATAGGTCAACACTCAAGGTGAGCAGGGAGTGGGGCCACGTTTCAAGCATGGCGTTGAATATTGCTGGTTGATTGCACAACTTGTTGGATTGGACTGCTGTTATCACAGATAAGTGTTTTTTTTTTTTTTTTTTTGTCAGGTTCGATTGCCATTGTTACCCATTGAATTTCTGATGTCGGTTGTGGCTAAAGAGCAGACAATAAGAAAGGACTTGAAATGCAGAGATTTGTTGGATGAAGCAAGGAACTATCACCTGCACTTAAGCAGCCGGGCTGTCCCTGACTTTGAATATACAATCCGCACTACACCAAGGAAACAGACTGCCGGTAAGGACGACGTGTTTCACCAGATTAAGCATGATGTTTTCTTAAGTTGCCTCCTACATGTTCAGTCTGCAGATTTGTTTAATTTTATGATGCTTTCAGACCTTGTCCCGTCCTTAAAATTGACCCTTTAAAGTGGTTGTAAACCCTTTACATTTACCCAGAGAAGTGACTGGCCTCAGGTGATGCACAGATGAAACAAATCTTCCTACATACATTGTACCTGTTTATCTGGAATGTTTTCTCCTCTTCTCAACAGTTCAAATTTGCTGAATTTTAAAGCTTGTCAGAGTTCAGAAAAAAAGACTGACGTTACAGTCTGCAGAGTTCAGTGTGACCTCTTCATCTCTTCGCCACAGCTCATAGAAACAGAGCTGAGGCTGTCACTCTGCTGGAGGTCCTCTGCTGGTGTCAGGAAAACTTGTCAGAAGAATATATTTTAATCATATTTCATGTCTGAGGTTTACAACCACTTCCAGTAACATTACATGTCTGCATGATTACATTCTTCACACACTGCAACATATATTAGTTTTTTTTTTTAGGTTTTTTTTTTGGGGGGGGGGGGGGTTCTTTTACAGTGTGTCCAGAAAGTATTCACAGCACTTAACTATTGCCACATTTTGTTATGTTACAGCCTTACAAAATGGATTCAATTCATTTTTTTCCTAAACTTTCTACAAACAATACCCCATAATGACCATGTGAAAAAAGTTTGTTTTGAAATCTTTGCAATTTATTAAATAACAAACATGTACATAAGTATACACATCGTTGTCCTGTTGAAAGATGAATCGTCTCCCCAGTCTAAGGTCCAGAGTGCTCTGGAACAGGTTTTCATCAAGGATGTCTCTGTACATTGCTGCATTCATCTTTCCTTCAATCCTGACTAGTCTGCCAGTTCCTGCCGCTAAAAAACATCCCCACAGCATGATAATGCCACCACCATGCTTCACTGTAGGGATGGTATTGGCCAGGTGGTGAGAGGTGCCTGGTTTCCTCCAGGCATTCAGACCAAAGCGTTCAATCTTTGTTTCATGAGACCAGAGTTTTTTGTTTCTCATGGTCTGAGAGTCCCTCAGGTGCCTTTTGGCAAACTCCAGGTGGGCTGCCATTTGCCTTTTACTGAGGAGTGGCTTCCGTCAGGCCACTCTACCATACAGGCCTGATTGGTGGAGTGCTGCAGAGATGGTTGTTCTTCTGGAAGGTTCTCCTCTCTCCACAGAGAAATGCTGGAGCTCTTTCAGAGTGACCATCGGGTGCTTGGTTACCTCCCTGGCTAAGGCCTTTTTCCCTCGATCGCTCATTTTGGCCACTCTAGGAGGATTCCTGGTGCTTCCAAATTTCTTCCATTTATGGATGATGGAGGCCATTGTGCTCATTGGGACCTTCAATGCTGCAGAAATGTTTCTGTACCCTTCCCCAGATCTGTGCCTTGATACATCCTGTCTGAGGTCTTCAAACAATTCCTTGGACTTCATGGCTTGGTTTGTGCTCTGTCATGCACTGTTAACTGTGGAATCTTATATAGACAGCTTTATGCCTTTCCTAATCCTGTCCAATCACAACTGCATTTCCCACAGGTGGACTCCAATCAAGTTGTGGAAACATCTCAAGGATGATCATTGGGAACAGAATGCACCAGAGCTCAATTTTGAGTGTAATGGCAAAGGCTGTGAATACTTATGTACATGTGTGTTGTGTGTTTTTAGGTTTTTTTTTTTTTTTTTCAATAAATTGCAAAGCTTTCAAAATTAACTTCTTCACATTGTCATTATGGGGTATTGTTTGTAGAATGTTGAGGAAAAAAATGAATCGAATCCATTTTGGAATAAGGCTGTAACAATACAAAATGTGGCAAAAGTTAAGCACTGTGAATACTTTCTGGATGCATTGTATTTCATTAAGCCTTCTTTTAAGCTTCACTCCAGTGACTTTGCTTAGACTAGGATTGTCTGTCTGTCTGCTGCAGGCAGATGGAAACATTTAATCAGACTGCAACCTAGTAACTGTAGCAGATCAAAAGATACAAGGCTGCATTAGGGAGCTAATATGTGTCAGACATTTTGTAAGCACAGCCAGGAACAGCACATGCATCAGGATATTACAAGACTCTGTAATCTCAGAATCTTAGTCTAAAATGCCAAATCTGGAATATTGAACAATGTTGGCTTGATCCCATTGCAAAGAACAGCTGATGATTCTTTGTGAGGAGTACTGTGGTTTGTCTAAGAAGTGATAAATACCTGTGAGTGATACTTATTCGTATATCGCTTAACTTGTGGACACTTATGAAGAATTTATCTGTTGTTAGGTCCATTTTTGTTCAAATGTAAGATTGTGTTTTATAAGTTCTCTTAAAAAGCCCTCCTCTGCCCAGTGGAAGGGAGGCATCTTAAAATGGAGCTACACTGCATCTGAGCACCACAAACCAAAAACGTTAATTCATTTTTTAATATTAAAAAAACTCGCCCATCTATCCTTGTCTCCCTGTTGTATTTTTTGCTAAGAACTTGCCTCTTCTTGCCCCTTCTAAAGATTCCTGGGATCTACAGCGGGTAAAAGAAGTATTGAACACGTCACCATTTTTTTTTCGGTAAATATATTTCTAAAGGTGCTATTGGCATGAAATGTTCACCACCACATGTTGGTAACACCCATACATACAAAGACCAAGCCAAATACGTTCAGAAATTATGTGTAATAAAATGCAATGACACAGGGAAAAAGTATTGAACACATGACGAAAGGATGGTGCAAAAAGGAATGGAAATCCAAGACACCAGCTGAAATCTATCAGTAATTAGAAGGCAATCCTGTCCCTTGTCAGTGCAAATTAATATTAGCTGGTTCAGTTTCAGCTGATGGCCTATAAAAAGGTGTCTCATTATATAGGTATTCACAAAAGAAACTGCTCATGGTGTGAACACTGCAATGATGGCAAGGGATGGGTGACAGGGAGTCCGATGACCTAGAACAGTCCAGATGCAGAGAGCACAGGAATTCATAATCTCCTTACACTTGGCTTGTTTTACATTCATTTTATTTTAGTAAAATGCAGATTTTTTTTTTTTTTCTTGTACTTCTGTGTATATTATTATACTTTAGATCAAAAGTAAGCAGATCTGTTGACCTTTTTTATTTGGTAGTTTTTTTTTTTGTTTGGGTTTGTAAAAACTGTTTGCCATGAGGCTGTACAGAATCCCAGCAAACCTCACAAGGAAGGGCACAAACTATCACTCATGCACACAAGTTAGTCAGTTGGAATAAAATTGTGATTAATAAACATAACAGAAATATAGTGGATGAGCGTACACAGAAAATCTTTATTCTTTTCAAACATTAAGTGACGGTATCAAGCTGCTATGGCAGCTGACCTATGGGAGACATGAAGGATGTGAGTTATTCTGGATATTGGTACCACTCCTGCTGCCCCAAGTTGCTGTACATGCTACCCTTGATATGTGGTGGCCAAGTGTGTCCTCAACTGGAAGCCATCACATTCACTAATAAAGTTGTGCAGGGAACATGTTGCTTTAACTGCAATGATGGCATTCTGCATGTTTAAGTGGATGGGAGTGTGCGACAAATGGCTTTTTTTTTTTTTTTTTTGGAAAGGATGCCAAATGCACACTCCAACTCTTCATGCCCTGATGCATTGATGATTCAACACCCTGCTCTCTACATTCAGTGCACGACTAGAAAAGGGCCTTAGAAGGTGCCCGCCCATTCCCTACAAAGACAAATTGTAGAGCAGGACCTGTTTCCGGTAGTAGAGTGTTATCTGTCAGGCCCAGTCCATTATCTTGCAGCAGCTGTCCAAATGAAACCTGAGCAAAAACACTGGAGCCAGAACTGTTTCCATTGTACCCTATGTCAATGTAGGTAAAATGATCATTTGCATCTGCCACTGCAAATAAGAAATATTTTTTATAATTAAAAAAAAATTGCTGTCACTAGCTACTGGTTTATATTTGTGCTTCCCATCAATTGCTCCTATACAACTTGGGGGGGGGGGGGGGGGGGGGGATTGCAGCACTCTAAGAAAACTTGAGTTTTCTTGGACCAGTCTTCTGCAGTTGGTTTCTTGAAGACCAAATCCTTAAGTATACCTCCCTATCACTGAGTAGGTGAGCTGGACAATATAGCTTGCCATTTATTTCCCCACCATTTTGCTTGAGGTGATTGTAGCCGTATTAGTGCATTTGCGACAGGAACAATTGAGTACTGTCCTTGATACTTTTTTTTTTATTTGCACTAACAAAACAGTACTGCTTAGACCTGAAGAAGGGGACATTCCCCGAAAGCTTGTCCTCAAAATTGTGTGTTAGTGCAAATAAAAAAAGTATCATGGACCGTATTCAATTGTTCATTTCCCCACCAGAAACTGGAAGTGAAGACTAGCACGAGAATGACCAGTTGTAAGGTACCTGGAATTAAAAGAAAATTATAAAATGTTGTGTTTTACAGTTAAATCATATAAAGAGAATATGGCATAGGGTCAAAGACAACTACAACAAGCAGTCAAAGTGACCGGCTGTTGGAAGTGCCGACCACAATACAATCTAACATGAAATCAAACCAGTGTTTTGCGAACATCCTAGTTAGGTTAATAAAAAAAAAAAAAAAAAATGAGGTCCATGGGACCAGGGACAGATGAGGATTGGAATTTTGTAGTGCATTATTTTTTTTTTAATTTTTCTCATGTGCCCAGAGGTTGTTGTACATGGTTCCCCATGCTGTCTGTTCTCTGCCTCGTTTATCAAGATTAACTTTGGCTGCTTCAGTAAAGCCTACTAGGTCAAAGCCCCTCCTCACACACCAAAAACGGAGTAGAAACCGGAAGTAAAATACACAAGACAACATCCTATGAGATCTCAGCACACATAGCTTGCCATTGGCCAAAAACGCACGGAGCATGAAAACACATTACAAATGCATTAAAAAATACACGTAAAAAAATGCACGTGTGATCCTAGCCTACGACCAAGAATCTAAGCAAGGCCTGGACAGAGTTCTGGAGGAGTACTAGTTAAAACAAATTTTATATACAGTGTTCCAAATTATGCAAATTATATTTTTCTCATTTACCTAAATTGATGTAAATAACAGCATAATTCTCATGTTATCAACTATTAAGAGTACAATTCCGATTTTATTGAACAAACCTCCTAATGATAACAGGATTTTTGTTAAACGTAAAAAACGTACAATGCACTGTTCCAAATTATTACACACAGTAAGTTTCAAAACACTTTATAGGTTGTAAAGAACTGAAAATTGTAATTTGTTGTGTTTGAAGCATATTTACTGAAATCAAAAGCTATTTCAATCAAACTTTTAACAACATTTTAACTTTTTAAACCTTTTAACAGGTCATGTTACATTTTAGGACCCCTTATTTGATAGCAGCTTCACAAGTCTTGCATCCATTGAACTTGTGAGTTTTTGGACAGTTTCTGCTTGAATTTGTTTGCAAGATGTCAGAATAGCCTCCCAGAGCTGCTGTTTTGGATGTAAACTGCCTCCCACCCTCATAGATCTTTTGCTTGAGGATGCTCCAAAGGTTCTCAATAGGATTGAGGTCAGGAGAGGATGGAGGCCACACCATGACTTTCTCTCCTTTTTATCCCCATAGCAGCCATTGATGCAGAGGTATTCTTTGCAGCATGAGATGGTGCATTGTCATGCATGAAGATTTTATTCCGGAAAGCATAGTTCTTCCTTCTGTACCAGGGAAGACAGTGGTCAGTCATAAACTCCACATACTTTGCAGAGGTCATCTTTACACCTTCGGGGACCCCAATGGGGCCGACCAGCTCTGCTCCCATGATTCCGGCCCAAAACATGACTCCACCACCGCCTTGCTGATGTCGCAGCCTTGTTGGAACAGGGAAACTGTCCACCAACCATCCACTACTCTATCCATCTGGACCATCCAGGGTTGCACGGCACTCATCAGTGAACAGGACTGTTTGAAAATTAGTCTTCATGTAGTTTTCTGCCCAATGCAGCCATTTCTGCTTGTGAGCATTGGTTATTGGTGGCCGAATAGAAGGTTTATGCACAGTTGCAGGACTCTGGAGGACTCTACACCTTGATGTCCGTGGGACTCCAGAGGCACCAGCAGCTTCAAATATCTATTTGCTGCTATGTAATGGTATTTTAGCAGTTGCTCTCTAGATCCGATGCATGGATCTGGCAGAAATCTTCCTCAATGTGCCTTTATCTGCACGAACCCGTCTGTGCTCTGAATCAGCCACAAATCTCTTAATAGTGCGATGATCACGCTTTAAGTTTTCGTGAAATATCGAATGTTTTCATACCTCGTCCAAGGCATTGAACTATTTCACTCTTTTCGGCAGCAGAGAGATCCTTTTTTCTTCCCTATATTGCTTGAAAATGGTGCTCTGCTAAATAATGTGGAACACCCTCCTTTAGTAGTTTTTCCTGAAATTGGGCTCACCGGCCAATCTAATTATCACAGGTGTCTGAGATTGTTTTCAGTGATCAAAAGAGCCCTGACACACAATGCCATCCATGAGTTAAACTGAAAAACAAAATATTTAATCTTTGTGACACTTAAATAGAATTTGCATAATAATTTGGAACACTGTGTATTTAAATGCATGTTGGGGTTCGAATTTTGAAATCCTTCATATTTTTCATTATTTTTATTTACCAAAGTGGCTTTTAGTTGCTGCACTGCAAACATTTTTGCCAACCAACCTCTTTTTTGAGTTTTCTGCCTTCCTAAAGGTGTGTGTGTGTGTGTGTGTGTGTGTGTGTGTGATTTTTAACTCCTAGAAGCTGATATTAGCTTGTGGGTTTCTTTTTTTTTTCCACCAAAAAAAAACAAATTACTAAGCTCTTTTTCTACATGTACTGTAAAAATCCTAATAAATGCTAACGCTCCTTAAAATATTACCACAGGGTTTTTTTTTTTTCCCAGTGTTTTTTTTGAGCTAAAAAAAAAGCTAGTGTGCATGGAGCCTAAAGTAGCCCCTCAGATTGGACTCTATGGAACAGAATGGATCAAACTGAAATATTGGTCTTGATTGGACTGTCCTTCCCTTTTTTTTTTTCTTTTTTTTTTTTTTTTTTTTTTTTTTTTTTTCTTTTCCCAACAAGTGCTCATTTATCATTATCCAGGAAAGTTTGTCTTTTGAATTGGTTTAAAAGTAGAATAGCTGACTTCCAATTCTTAGTAATGGTAATTTTTGCCGAGGTTGTTCAGTGTTAACCCCCAAGCCTTCTCTGTGCCTGAAACTTCAGAGCTGTACAAGACTACAGAAAGTACATGCTGCTAGTAGTGGAGACTGCTACAAGGAAAAGCGATTAGCTCAGTAATTTTAGGAAACAGACTTTACACTGTTTTGTTCTAAGCAGTTTTTTTTTTTTCTACAGTATTGGTGTTGTGCTGACCTTCTAAAAGAATCAGTCTTTTCAGAATGAAAAAAACAATGGTTTACTAAGCTTTTTTAGAAAAGGGACTTATGCAGTTGCTAAATATAGGTACAATTAAAGTGGGCTTCTACATGGTCAATGCTGTCTACTGCATATGAGTGAGTTCTAAAAAAAAAAACCAAAAAATCTGTTGGCCATGGGAACTTGTCAGGCCCTTATTTTTTTTTTCTCTGGATGATCTGGAGTCAGAGGAAGATGCAGGATATTTTATTGTTAAAGCTGTGTTCCAAGATAATTGTAAGCCTCAACATCCTTTTAAAAATAAATTAAAAAATCAAGTTGCCTTGCTATCATGCTGGCCCACATTGGCTTCATTAAGTTTGTGCTTGTTTATACTATATGCTGTGACCTGTGTTTTTTTTTTTTTTTTTTTGTTTTGTTTTTTTTTTTTTTTTTATGCCAGGAATGAAGTAGGTCACTGTTTTGGCATGTAGAAGGCCACATTGGATGGCACCGCAGTGCATCGCACCATGCTGCTGTGCAGACTTGAATGGAATGTACAGTGCCTTGAAAAAGTATCCTACCCTTGAAATTTTCCACATTTGTCATGTTACAACCAAAAACACAAATATATTTTATGTGATAGACCAACACAAAGTGGCACATAATTGTGACGTGGAAGGAAATAGATAAATTAGTTTTAAAACCTTTTTTGAAAAAAAATCTGGAAAGTGTGGTGTGCATTTGTATTCAGCCCCCGAGTCAATACTTTTGTAGAACCACTTTTCGCTGCAATTACATTTGCAAGTCTTGTTGGGAATGTCTCTATCAGCTTTGTGCATCTAGAGTGAAATTTGTGCTCATTTTTGTTTGCAAAATAATGCAAGCTCTGTCAGATTGGTTTGTGAACAGCAATTTTCAAGTCTTGCCACAGGTTCTCAATTGGATTTAGGTCTGGACTTTTGTTTTAGGTTGGACCATTCTAACACATGAATATGCTTTGATCTAAACAATTCCGGCTGTATTTGGGGTTGTTGTCCTGCTGGAAGGTGAACCTCCTCCCCAGTCTCAAGTCTTTTGCAGACTAACAGGTTTTCTTCTAAGATTGCCCTGTATTTGGCTCCTTCTATCTTCCCATCAACTCTGACCAGCTTCTCTGCTGAAGAAAAGCATCCCCACAACATGATGCTGCCACCACGTTTCACGGTGGGGATGATGTGTTCAGGGTGATGTGCAGTGTTGATTTTCCGCCACACAGCGTTTTATTTTAAGGCCAAAAAGTTCAATTTTGGTCTTTTCTGACCAGAGCACCTTCTTCCACATGTTTGCTGTGTCCCCCACATGTCTTCTTGCAAACTGCAAATGAGACTTCTTATGGCTTTCTTTCAACAATAGCTTTCTTCTTGCCACTGTTCCATAAAGGCCAGATTTGTGGAGTGCACAGCTAATGGTTATCCTGTGGACAGATTTTCCCACCTGAGCTGTGGATCTCTGTAGCTCCGCCAGAGTTACCATGGGCCTATTGGCTGCTTCTGATTTAATGCTCTCCTTGCCTGGTCTCTCAATTTAGGTGGACAGCCATTTCTTGGTAGGTTTGCAGTTGTTCCTTCCTTCCTTCCGATGATGGATTAAACAGTGCTCCATGAGATGTTCAAAGCTTGGGATATTTTTTAAAACCTAACATTGCTTTAAAGTTCTCCAACTTGTATCCCTGACCTGTCTGGTGTCCCTTGGCCTTCATGATGCTGTTTGTTCAATAATGTTCTCTAACAAACCTCTGAGGGCTTCACAGAACAGCTGTATTTATACTCAGATTAAATAACACACAGGGGGACGCTATTTACAAATTAGGTGACTTCTGAAGGGAATTGGTTCCACTAGATGTTTTTAGTTGGGGGTATCAGAGTAAAGGGGGCAGAATACAAATGCACACCACTTTTTTCAGATATTTAAGTGCAAAAAAATTTGAAAATCCCTTAATTTTCCTTCCACTTCACAATTTTATGTGCCACTTTTTTTGTGATGATCTATCACATAAAATACATTTTACATTTTTGGTTGTAACATGACAAAATGTGGAAAATTTTCAAGGGGTATGAATACTTTTTTAAGGCACTGTACATTTCCACATTCCCATAAATTTAAAAGAATTTAAACACCTGGCAAACTGACACCAGCCAGCATTATAAAATGGGGAGGTTTAGTGTGCAGGTAGTGTGACTTAGCCCTAGTCTCTTAGATATTTCAGACAGCTGACAAATGGTAAGCAGTAATCACATAGAAATACAGTATATGAAATTGTTAAATTTTTGTGCTCTTATTAGCTGATGCCTGTTTTATAATCCAGGTGACCTAGAATGTATGTAAAATGTATTTCTGCGTTCCTCCCCCCCCAGGTGTCTTATTCTGTGTGGGAGGAAGAGGAGGCTCGGGGGATCCATTTCGTAGTATTGAATGTTACTCTGTAAGCAAGAACAGCTGGTTCTTTGGGCCAGAAATGAACAGCCGGAGAAGACATGTGGGTGTCATCTCTGTGGGAGGTCAGTAGAAAATATATATGTATTTTTTTTAAAGTATCTCAATGAAATGAAACCGTTATGTTTAATAGTACACATATCCTACATTGTCAGTAGATCTAATATAAAATTCTAACTGCGGAAAGTTTAGACCCTCTTTTGGGGTTTTGTTGCTGCCCACTGGAAAGATTAATTGTCTTTGTTCTTGTGACCATTATCAGAAAGTGTTGGGTAATTAAGACTTTAAGTCCCATTCACATTTTCAGTCCTGATGTGGTGTTAACACACCGTGTTGGATTAAGGTTAGCCCATTCATTTGAATGAGTTGATGGTGGCCCAGAACACACACATTTTTTAATTTTTTTTTCTTTTTTTTTTTTTTTTTTTTGAGGCAAAAAAAAAAACTTACATGGGGTTTTAGCATCTCTTTAATATGTGTGTGTGTGTGTGTGTGTGTGTGTGTGTGTGTGTGTGTGTGTGTGTGTGTGTGTGTGTGATTTTAGATAAGGTGGTAAAAAGAGCAGCTTAGTTAAATCTTCAAATAAGTTGGAGGTTTGAAAATTATGGTGTTATAAGTAACTTGAAAGGCAAAGCAATATGTTTACTTTTAAACCTGCCTCTGCAACATCTTTTAGGAGATTTACCTTCCCTTTGTAAGCTCTGCCTCTGTTTAGGTTAGGAGATGAGAACAGTCTCCCCACCACCATGTGGCACCAGGGCAACATTCGAGGGGTAGGTAACACAGAAGAGGTGTAGATCTGTCTGAACAGCACTCACTTTTTTTTTTTTTTTTTTTTTTTGTAAGGTTTGAAGAGTTCAGTGGCCAATCGTAAGTAACACAGCATGCAGAGGGCAGGAGAAAGGGAAACACATCTCCCCCATAAGTGAAAATACCCCTCTTCCAGTACAAACATTCAGTAAAATTCACTGATTAGACTTTAGTTGTCCTCCCAGGTCTCCCCTTGGCTGCATCATATGACTCATTTGAGCTGAGAGCTTCCTTCAGCTCTGAATTTACATTGCCGGTTCAATTTGAGGTCTGAAAGGCGGCACTGCAGGATTGATCAAATTAGTCACGTGCCAGCAATTTGAAGGGTTGTCAACTACATTCGAGGACGGGAAGTCAACCTCATGATCCTACCCTAAAAGTTTTTGCTTATTGCAGAAATGCGCTACAGCCCATTTTAAATGGTTTCTTATGGGACATGTTCACATCTATGCTTTTTTGAGATGCTGCATTTTTGGAAAGGGTCAGGGACTTTTTTAAATGCAAAAAGCAGAGTTTTTGCTACAATAGAGTTCAATGGAGAAGCTGCTGAAACGCATGTAGTGTGTTTTTTGTTTTGTGTGGGTTTTTTTTTTTTGGTTTTTTTTTTCTTCTATGCCCAGCAACAAAAACCTTTTCCCCTTTAACACAAAAAAAGCCACCACTGAACAAAATGTGGTCAAATTGCAGCACAAATAGCACTGCAAAACAGACAAAATCAAAATGCATTGGTGTTAACCAAGCCTCAGAGGTAGATGGCTTGTTTGGAGAGCAAAAAAATTGGTCAGCATATAAAGGCGGTTGGACAGGTACTAAAGTGAAGCAGTCACTTTGACCTGCATTGGGCAAAGCATGTTTATTTTAAATCCTTCCATAAAACTTGACATTTTCTGTACATTTCCCACCCACAACTACAATTTTTGATGGCGCTTCATAAACAAATGGCTTGGTGATCATTTTAGAATGCATCAGTTACTTAATGCTGCTTGTGTTTTTTTTTTTTTTTTTTTTCCCCTCACAGGAAAGGTCTATGCAGTTGGTGGCCATGATGGCAATGAACATTTGGGTAGTATGGAGGTGTTTGACCCGCTTACAAATAAATGGATGATGAAGGCATCAATGAATAAGAAAAGGTACTGCAAAATATTATCTTCCCGATGATGCTGTCACTTTCCCTTTCATGTAATCTGTTGCTATCTGGGATACCAGTTTCTGATTTCCTACTTTTTTTTTTTTTTATGCTTTAATGAGAAACCCTATTTCACAGAACCATTGGCTTTTTGATTGAATTAGTTAGTTTTTTACTTTTTTTGTACTAACTTTTTCAGCAATGCCCAGCAGTGTACAAAGTACATTTTCATACGATGTTGCATCACCTCGACCATTTTGTTTTGAAGTTTGTCCCTGGTATGAATTGGGAAGATTATCTTATTGACCACAAGCTACAGTTGATGAAACTGAAACTGAGTACTGGTGATTTACCTCTGCTGGTATTCCCCCCCCCCCCATAAACCATCAACCACTTCATACATCTGCAATAGACTGTGTTGGGCTAGTTAACTATGCTTCTAGAAGACACAAAGTGGCCAAAGCGCAGGAGTTAATAAAACATTGTATCATTAAGATTGTAAGCTCCAAGGAGCAAGGCCCTCCTAACCCTGTTTTATTGAACTGTATAGTTGCTGCAGCATTGTCTCCCTTTATATTGTAAAGCGCTGAGCAAACTGTTGCCGCTATAATAAATCCTGTATAATAATATTTGGGCACGGTTCACACTACTGCGACTTACAATGATACTTTGCCAGGCGATCTGCTGGCGACTTGATGTTACTTGAGTACAACTTGTCACATGACTGTCATGCGACTTTGCTTTATCAGGGGTTTTTTTTTTTTTTCTACAATTTTGTTTAATTTATTGAATTTATAATGAAATCCTAATTTTCAGAATAGATGCAATTCGAACTGGTTTAAATGTGATCAACCGATCGAAATTCTGTGTAGAAGAATAGCTGTCTGCTAAGGAGAGGGCTGGAAAGCTATGGTTTCCCTGCTGATAGCTGAATGTAAATAAAAATGAAAAATGTCGACAATTAAAAAAAAAAATGCGTGAGGATTACCCCCTATCCATACCAGGCCCTTCGGGTCGGCTATGGATTTTAAGGGGAACCCCACACCAAAATAAAAATAAATAAATAAAAACCCCTTGTGGGGTCCCCCCCAAAATCATACCAGATTCAAATTTCCATTTGTTCCGAAAATTAGGATTTCATTAGAAATTCAATAAATGAAACAAAATTTAATGAAAGAGCACTGGTAAGTTACACTTACCGGTAACTGTGTTTCTGGAAATCTTCCAGGATGGCACACCTGAGAGATGACTAGTTCCACCTGACAGAAAACACAATCAAAAATTGACCGGTTTTAAATTCTCCACCCTTTCCTCCCCTCCTCAGTTTATGAAACCGTATTTCCCGCACCCAGGTGCACGAAAGGTATTTTACCTCAATTCAATCAACACCAGATATTGGTGGGAAGTTAGCCTGCTGTCCTGGAAGATTTCCCAGAAACACCGTTCCCGGCAAGTGTAAATGGTACTTTCTCCAGTCATCTTCCAGGACTGCACACCTTAGATGAGCAAGGAACTCAGACCTACCTTGGGGCGGGACTACTGCCTGTAATACCTTCCTGCCGCACACCAGGTCCTGAGGTGAGCTCCCACATGTTAAGGAACAAAGACCCCTGATTGCTCATAAGCAAGGAATGGCTTGGTCTGGGAGGGAGCCAATGAGGACTTTTCCCGATTTTTAACGATCCACCCCAACCTTTCCAAGGTAAGGATTACTTTTTCCAGATCTCTCAGAACTTGTTGCTGTGAGATCCCGTAGATCAGCAGGTCGTCTAGGTAAGGCATGAGGGAAATTCCCTGAAGGTGTAAATACGCCACTACCTCGGCCAGGACTTTGGTGAAGATTCTCGGACTGGCTGCCAGCCGGAAGGGCTTGGAACTGCCGATGACTGACCCCCTTCTCTGTGACTATAGCGAACCGTAAGAAGGCTTGGTATTCCGGGGCGATGGGGATGTGGAAGTAGGGGTCCCTGAGGTCCACCATGGCCATAAACAATCCTTTTGAGTAGGAGTTTGCGTACACTGTAAATAGTCTCCAGGTGGAACTTTTTTGTACCGCAGGAACCCGTTTAACCTTTTTAGGTTTATGATCAATTGGAATTTTCCTGATGGCTTCGAGAGAAAGCTGGTCTGTCAGCACGGGGACAGTTAATTCCTGATCTGCTACATCTGTTATCCCTCTCAAGAGACCACCTGCCTTTATGTTTATTTACCTGCCCAGAGACAGGGCAAAGGCCCGAGGGGGGAGTGAAGCAAACTCCAACTGATACCTCTCCTTTATCAACTGAAGGATGTATGGGCTCTCTGAAATTTTCCCTCACTGCTGGTGGAACCTGGAGAGCCTTCCGCCCACCCTGGGATCTGAGTCATTGGGTATCCTTACTGCCGGGTTTAGAGCTGGATAAAAGAGTTCCCTTTTTGTCTCCCCTACTAGCCCACTTCTTGGGAGGGTCCTTCCTAGGTTTCTGTTGGCCCTGATTAAGGGGGGCTCGAAAAAAAAACATCTTCCGCTTATCCTTCCTAATATTGACTGGGAAATTCTTTCCCTTCTCAGCGGATCTAGATAACACCTGATCTAACCCTGAGCCAAACCGCAAGGAACCCTCAAAAGGCAGACCGCAGTGCTGGATTCTTGATGTGCGATCGCCCTCCCAGGCCTTAATCCACACTGCCCTCGGGGCTGAGTTAACCAAAGCTGATGTCTTGACCATCTCTACAGCTGCGTCTGCTAAATAGGCAACCGCTTTACTGACCACTTCCGGAGACTCGAACACTTCTTCGTCTGGGCTTCCCCCTTCTTAAAACCCTGAGATGTGTTCATTTTCTGAGGGGAGGAAAGGGTGGGGAGTTTTTTTAAATCATCAATTTTTGATTGTGTTTTTTCTGTCTGGTGGAACTAGCCATCTTTCAGGTGTGTTGTCCTGGAAGATGACTGGGGAAAAAACTGATATTTTCCAATTGGTCAAAAGAAAAAAAAGGTGTCCGATCCAAATTCTATCAATATAGATGAGGATCTGCCTTTGAGGCAACTTCCATTAAAGTCTAAGGGCACAAATTGAAAAAACATTGCCTTTGAAGTAGTACAGGAACCTTTTCTAAAGTCTGAGCGACTTCAGTAGTGCTAATTTAGACCGCTCTCATTGACTAACATGGGATTTCGCATGTAATGAGACTTTGGGTCTCACAAGTTGGATCATGAGTGGCGGCAGTGTGAACCGAGCTTATTGAGAAACACCTATCCGCACTTGCATGTGAGGCAGGGGCGGACTGACAACTCATGGGGCCCCCGGGCAATAGGGGATCATGGGGCCCCTGTGTCCTTGACCAAACTCAAAAAAGCCTATGAAAAAGGTACCAGGGGCATCTCATGGGGCCCCCTACTGACCTCAGGCCCACGGGCAGTGCCCGAGTTTCCAAATGGTCAGTCCGCCCCTGATGTGAGGTAAACAAAGTGCTGCTTGATCGTGGAGGGAAACACTGTGTGTATGGATGGAATGCAGAGTGGTGGCAGCTGTCACACACCAGACCCGCTGGAAGGATGGAGTAGCGGCACAGTCTATGGCCATCTTCAAATGGACCAGACGAGCCATGGTAGGTGGGAAGGAGGCATGCACAATGCATTTCGCAGGCCCCATTACCTTTTTAAGTGCTTGAACATTGTTTGGGGACTCAAACTGTGAGCACTGAGAGACTATATTTTAATTGGCTATGCTGTTGCTTCAGTACTACATAATTTTGTTTGGTAAATTCACAAGGAAGCAGGTCTGCCTGCCTGTTACAGAACAAAGGATAAATTAAGTTTAAAAAAAAAAATCTGGTTTGCAAATAAGTGTTGCCATTGAACAAAGGCTCCAGCAGTTAAGGTTCATTTAATGAAGTTGAGGTGAATATTCACTTCAATTATCCAATCAAAGCATACAGTGAGGAACAGAAGTATTTGAACACCCTGCGATTTTGCAAGTTCTCCCACTTAGAAATCATGGAGGGGTCTGAAATTCACATTGTATGTGCATTTTTACTCTGAGAGACAGAATTTAAGAAAAAAATTCAGGAAATCACATTGTATGATTTTTAAAGAATTTGTCTTACACTGCTGAACATAAGTATTTGAACACCTGAGAAAATCAGTGTTATTATTTGGTACAAAAGCCTTTGTTTGCAATTAGAGGTCAAACGTTTCCTGTAGTTCTTGACCAGGTTTGCACACACTGAAACAGGGATTTTGGCTCACTCCTCCACACAGATCTCCTCTAGATCTGTCAGGTGTCGGGGCTGTCGCTGAGCAACACGGAGTTTCAGCTCCCTCCAAAGATGTTCTATTGGATTTAGGTCTGCAGAGTGGCTAGGCCACGCCAGAACCTTGATATGCTTCTTACGGAGCCACTCCTTGGTTATCCTGGCTGTGTGCTTCGGGTCGTTGTCATGTTGGAAGACCCAGCCACGACCCATCTTCAATGCTTTGACTGAGGGAAGGAGGTTGTTGCTCAAAATCTCACAATAAATGGCCCCATTCATCCTCTCCTTAACACAGTGCAGTCGTCCTGTCCCCTTTGCAGAAAAGCATCCCAAAGCATGATGTTACCACCCCCATGCTTCACAGTAGGGATGGTGTTCTTGGGATGCAACTCATTCTTTTTCCTCCAAACACAAGTGAAGTTTAGACAAAGTTCCACTTTTTGGTCTCATCTGACCACATGACTTTCTCCCATGCCTCCTCTGGATCATCCAGATATTCATTGGCACAATTCAGACAGGCCTGGACATGTGATGACTTGAGCAGGGGAACCTTCCATGCAAAGCATGATTTGAAACCATGACGGCGTAGTGTTCTACCGACAGTGACCTTTGAAACTGGTCCCAGCTCTCTTCATGTCATTGACCAGCTCCTCCCTTGTAGTTCTGGGCTGATTCCTCACCTTTCTTATCATCAGTGATACCCCACGAGGTGAGATCTTGCATGGAGCCCCAGTCTGAGGGAGACTGACAGTCATCTTTAGCCTCTTCCATTTCTAACAATCACTCCAACAGTTGATCTATTTTCACCAAGCTGCTTGGCAATTGCCCCGTAGCCCTTTCCAGCCTTGTGGAGGTCCACAATTTTGTCTCTGGTGTCTTTTGACAGCTCTTTGATCTTGCCCATGGTAGTAGTTGGCGTCTGACTGTGGGGTGGACAGGTGTCTTTAAAGAGCTCAGGCAGGTACTACTAAGTTAGATTAATGAGTGGAGTAGAGGTGGACTTTTTAAAGGCACAGTAACAGGTCTTTGAGAGCCAGAATTCTTGCTGTTTCTTGGGTGTTCAAATACTTATGTTCAGCAGTGCAAGACAAATAAATTATTTAAAAATCATACAATGTGATTTCCTGAATTTTTTTTTTCTTTTTCTTAATCTGTCTGAGTGGGAATGCATCTACAATGTGAATTTCAGACCCCTCCATGATTTCTAAGTGGGAGAACTTGCAAAATCGCAGGGCGTTCAAATACTTCTGTTCCTCACTGTATTCCTGTTATTTAACCTGCATCTGTTCAGATGGTTGAAATGGATATTCTCACCATTTGTATGAAGATTCCCAACTTCTTCAGCAAATCAGTGTCACTAGAGTATGTGTTTTCTGCTTTGATGATGCTAACAATTATATATATATATATATATATATATATATATATATATATATATATATATATATATATATATATATATATTATTTTTTTTTTTTTTTTTTTTTTTTTGTGATGTTTGTACATGTACAGTAGAGTTTTGCTACATAATGTATTCTGACTTTCAATAGGAGGGGGATTGCATTGTCGTCTCTTGGTGGCCCGATATATGCCATTGGTGGGCTGGATGACAACACATGCTTTAATAATGTAGAGCGTTATGATGTGGAATGTGATCGCTGGTCTGCTGTGGCTCCAATGAATACACCTCGAGGAGGTGTTGGATCGGTTGCTCTTTTGGTATGTGAACAGGCCTAATCTAGTAAGGGAGAAGTATTTTTAGAAATCATGGTGTTTTTGATTTGTGTGTTGTGTGGTGTGCCAATGCCCCAAAGCCACTTTCCATGTCTCACTGGAGTTGCCCTGGATCCTGGGTGTGCATTAGATAGGATGGAGGGTGGGTGGCACTTGCCTTCTGTCTGGTGCATCAAGCAAGGACAGTTGAGAGGTTGCTGACAGGCTTATAGTTAAAGTGGCATTAGTCTCCCAATTTGGAATTCATGTTTTTGTGCAGAAAGTAAGAATGGCAGGAAATGCTCAGGATTTGAGTGTCTGCAGTCAGCCCAGGCTAGGTGCTTTTCAGTACAGTGACTGTTACTATGGCAATCTCTATTACAGGTGAGTCTTTGTAGACTAACTCAAGGGGTTTAGAAGCGCTTGAAAAGACACTATTGTGCACGCACTACAACTTTTCTTCATAATGGCTGCACATTGGTATGCCATGACTTAGAATATGAAAACATAGCTTTCTGCTTAGTGGTATTACTATTTCCAAATTCCCAAAGTCTGCTCCACACACAAGGAAGCAACTTGGCCCTCTCTGACCCAGTTGTGCCCATAGCAACGCATCTGATGCAACTCTTCCTTGTGACTAGCCATATCGGTGCCAGTGTAACATGAGACTCCGTGACCCACTGGAAGTTGGACAAGTTTTCCTATGAGTTTGCACCTTTTGAAAATGGTGCTTAAATAGAGTACTGTTGCTTTGGCATACTGCAGGTGTGTGACTCTCAGCAAACATTTCAACAATTGTAGCTTCCCATCAAGGGACATCCTATCGAAATGTCTCAATTTTTCAATTGAGGGGGCATCTCCGACCATAGGGCTTTTGTTTTCCACAAACATTACCTCCAAGTCTAGTCTGACTTTTGATTTGTGGTCTCTGAGTGCAGTGAGCTATTGCGCCCAGACATACACCCACTTGAGAATTCAAATGATTGCTTTTCCAGCTGAATGCAATAATTTTAGCTTTCCAGAAGGAATGAGTAGAATTCGCACATGCCACATCACAAGTATAGGTTTGTGAAAATCAAATGGTTATAAAACATGTGTTTCCATACTTTTTGTAGTTCTGTGTTGGGAGGGTAGCTAGATGGCTATGGTTAGAGTATCAGGCATCTTCAATTTTTAGATAGTTCTGCATATAAGGTTTACCACTATAGCCATATGTACAATGTTTTAAAATTACTGCGTAACTGTCCTTTTTTGGTCACTTATTTAGATAAGCGCAGCCATACTTCTCCAGCAAACTTTTTAATAATCCAACTAAAGCTAACTGAAAGATGATTGGTTATTTGACTTTGCATATCATTTTCCCTTTGCAGTACTGAATAAACACATATTTCTACTATTTCTAGGTAAGAGTTATGATGTAGGTTTCAGGCATGTACAGTGGGGTAAAGTAATTATTTGATCCCATGAAAAATTTGTAAGTTTGCCCACTTACAAAGAAATGCAGGGTCTATACCTTTTTTTTATCATATGTGTATTTTACATGATGGAGACAAAATATCAACCAAAAAATGCAGAAAAAACACATGATACAAATGTTATAAATTGAGTTGCGGTTCAGTGAGTAAAATTAAGTATTTGATCCCCAAGCAAAACATGACCCTAGTACTTGGTGGAGAAACCCTTGTTGGCATGCACAGAGGTAAGACGTTTCTTGTAGTTGGTTACCAGGTTTGTTCACATCTCAGAAGGGATTTACAGATCTTCTCTAAATCCTTAAGGTTTATTGGCTGTCCCTTTGCAACCCGAAGTTTCACCTCCCTCCATAAATTTTCTATAGGATTAAGGTCTGGTGACTGGCTACTTCATGACCTTAATGTGCTTCTTCTTGAGCCACTGTATTGTTGCCTTAGCGGTATGTTTTGGGTCATTGAAGATGGGTTGTGGATGTGTCTTCCAGCATGACCGTGTTCTAGCTGAGGGAAGAAGGTTCTCATCCAAGATTTTACAATACATGGCGCGTCCATTAGCCCCTAAATGCAGCAAAGTCAGCCTGTACCTTTTTTAGCAGAGAAACCGCCCCAAAGCATAATGTTTCCACCTCTGTGCTTCACTGTAGGGATGGTGTTCTTAGGGTCCTAGTCAATATTTTTCTTCCTCCAAACACGGCAAGTTGAGTTAATGCCAAAGAGCTCAATTTTGGTCTCATCTGATAACACTGTTCAACAGGTAAAAAGTTTTGGGCATAAAATTAGCTAATCTTACATAATTTTGGGGTGCTGAAAATGAAAATGACCCTAAAAAATGTTGATTGGCTCTAGTTTCCATGATATATTCACCCATCTAATGACGTTAGCCATTCAAAATTATGATGCAACTTCAGCTGCATATTGCGCAATTGATACTGGTGACCAATAGAAAATTGCATGTATACTGAGATGATGCAATATTAGCCTTTAATTGCATCACTTCACTGCATAAAAGCTGCAGTATCTGTAGCTGATTGTAGTTCGACAGCGTCTTTACATTTCGTTTTATGCTTATATAGGCTACTCAGTAATGCCTCGAACTTGTGTGAATAAAGCAAGTTATTTCACCGCAGATATAGCAGAAATTATCTATCTCACAAAAAAGGAGGATAACAGGAATGATTAAGAAAGCCTACAACTTGTATTTTGGCTGCAAGATAGGAGACCAGGACAAGAGCTGGGCACCACATATATGCTGCAATTCTTGTGGGACGGCACTGGAGCAATGGTTGAATGGAAAAAAGGCATCTATGCCTTTCGCTGTGCCAATGATTTGGAGAGAGCCAACAGATCATGTTAGTAATTGTTACTTTTGTATGGTGCCTCCAACAAAAGGGCTAAATAAGAAGAAAAAGTTATCTGTGCACTATCCAAATATTCCATATTCGGCAATACGTCCAGTTCCTCATGGAGAGGGGCTACCAATTCCTAAAGCACCAGAATCCTTCGTGGTTGAGTCAAGTGAGGAAGAACCTGAAGCGTGTAGTCATCAACCGTCAACCTCACATGACCCAGACATTTTTCCATCCACACCCACTGAACCACACCTCATTACACAAGTGGAATTGAGCGATCTATCAGAGACCTGGATCTTCCGAAGAACAAGGCAGAGCTTTTGGGGTCAAGACTACAACAGTGGAATCTCCTAGCAAGTGATGTTCGTACGTCTTTCTACCGTCATCGTCAGAAAGATCTGATCCCATTCTTCGTCCAGGAAGGTGAAATTGCTGTATGTAACAATGTTCATGGTTTAATCTCAGCCATCGGCGTATGCTATGATCCCGATGAGTGGAGGCTGTTCATTGATGCTTCAAAGGCGAGTCTTAAAGCTGTTTTGCTCCATAATGGCAATCAGCTGCCGTCAGTTCCAGTTGCTTACGCAGTTTCAATGAAAGAAACGTATGAAAACTTGAAAGAGCTTTTAAGGTGCATCAACTATGATGAACATCAATGGTCGATTTGTGGTGACCTGAAGGTGATTGCTATCCTACTTGGACTTCAAGGTGGATATACTAAGTACTGCTGCTTCCTCTGTGAGTGGGACAGTCGTGCGAGAGAAATGCACTATGCCAAAAGAGACTGGCCATTACGCCAGTCATTGCAGCCTGGAGAAAAAAAATGTTAACTATCCAGCACTTGTAGACAGCAATAAGATCTTATTACCTCCATTACACATCAAGTTGGGATTAATGAAAAACTTTGTTAAGGCAATGGACAAGAATAAAGCAGGTTTCAAGTACCTGATTAGCAAATTTCCAGCACTTAGTGCTGCAAAAATAAATGAAGGAGTCTTTGTTGGGCCACAGATTCGTAAACTTATTCATGATGATGAGTTTCTTTCTCTGTTGCATGGAAAGGAAAAGGCTGCCTGGACAGCATTTGTATCAGTGACATCAAATTTTCTTGGAAACAATAAAACACCAGACTACAAGAAAGTGGTAGAAAAACTCATCCAGACTTACAGAAATCTGGGTTGCAACATGTCTCTAAAAATTCATTTTCTACATTCGCATCTGGATTTTTTCCCACCAAACTGTGGAGCAGTGAGTGATGAACACGGAGAGCGCTTCCATCAAGACATTGCAGCTATGGAAAGAAGATATCAAGGTAAATGGAGCCCATCAATGCTTGCTGACTATTGCTGGACAGTTGTAAGAGATAGCCCTTTCCTCGAATACAAGAGAAAAGCCAAGAGAAGCAAAACCGACAAACTGAAGACAAAACTAGTGAGAATCCTAAGTATTAAAATGATTCAACTTAGTTTATGGCTATAATTTTTCTTGGTAATCCTATGCAGTATATTATGCCATTTAGGCTTTATGTAGTCAATATCACTTGCTTTATATTTGTGGAAAGACATCTATCTATATAATTATTGTGCATTATGTAGTCATTACGCCTATAGTAGAACACTTTCCGTTTACAGAAAAACTAGAGCCAATTGACAAATTTCATTGTTATATTTGAACTCAGAATGTGAAATTCATTAAGAAATGGATCCTTTTGTTTCCAAAACTGGCAAAAAATATAAATTTGTTGAACAGTGTAACCGCACTTTCTCCCAATTCTTCTCTGAATCATTTAGATGTTTGTTTGGCAAGCTTCAGACAGGCCTGTACATTTGCCTTCTTGAGGAGGGGGACCTTGCGAGTGCTGCAGGATTTCAATCTATGGCGGCGTATTGTGTTACCAATGGTGACTGTGGTCCCAACTGCCTTGAAGTCATTCACAAGCTCCTCCCATGTAGTTCTAGGCTGATCCCTCACTTTTCTCATGATCGTCCTTGCCCCATGAGGCGAAATCTTGCATGGAGCTCTAGACCAAGGACAATTGAGGTTATTTTGTACTTCTTCCTTTTGCGAATAATTGCTCCAACTCTTGTCTCCTTTTCACCAAGCTTCTTGCTGATGGTCTTGTAGGCCATTCCAGCCTTGTGCAGGTCTTGCAGTCTTGTCCCTGATATCCTTTGACAGCTCTTTAGCCTTGCCCATGCTGGTGAGGTTTGAATGGGAAAAGATTCTGTGGACAGGTTGTCCACAGAGTTGTCGTTAGGAGCACCTTCTTAAATTGACAGGGCTAATCTGTGTACTACATGAGCACATAGCCAGAATTATTGTTGGTTGGTAGGGGATCAAATACTTTATTTTACTCACTGAACTGCAACTCCGTTTATAATGTTTGTATCGTGTGCTTTTTCAGGGTTTTTGGTTGATATTCTATCCTTTAAAATACACCTATGATAAAAAATTATGAACCCTTCATTTTTTTTTTGCAAACTTACAAAATCTGCAGGGGATCTTTTAAGTTTCTTCTAAAATAAATTTCCTCACTGTACCTCACTTTTTTTTTTTTTTTTTTTTCTTTATTACTCCTACATCTCAAAATAACCCTTTCCATATACAGTGCATGGGTAGGCTTGTGGGAGTCAAGGCTGAGCAGCATTGTTCTTTTGGGGGAAAAAAAAAATTATGAATGCATATACACCCTTTTCCAAATTTATAATTGATGTATATAACAGCATAATTCTCATGTTATCAACTATTAAGAGTACAATTCAAATTTTATTGAACAAACCTCCTAATGATAACAGTACTTTTTTTTTTTTAAACATAAAAAAAAACTTACAACGCACTGTTCCAAATTATTATGCACAGTAAGTTTCAAAACACTTTATAGGTTGTAAAGAACTGAAAATTGTCATTTGTTGTGTTTTCAGCATATTTACTGAAATCAAAAGCTATTTCAGTCAAACGTTTAACAACCTTTTAACTTTTTAAACCTTTTAACAGGTCACGTTACATTTTAGGGCCCCTTATTTGATAGCAGCTTCACAAGTCTTGCATCCATTGAACATGTGAGTTTTTGGACAGTTTCTGCTTGAATTTGTTTGCAAGATGTCAGAATAGCCTCCCAGAGCTGCTGTTTGGATGTAAACTGCCTCCCACCCTCATAGATCTTTTGCTTGAGGATGCTCCAAAGATTCTCAATAGGATTGAGGTCAGGGGAGGATGGAGGCCACACCATGACTCTCTCCTTTTTATCCCCATAGTAGCCATTGATGCAGAGGTATTCTTTGCAGCATGAGATGGTGCATTGTCATGCATGAAGATTTTATTTCCGGAAAGCATAGTTCTTCCTTCTGTACCAGGGAAGAAAGTGGTCAGTCATAAACTCCACATACTTTGCAGAGGTCATCTTTACACCTTCGGGGACCCTAAAGGGACCGCCCAGCTCTGTTTCCATAATTCCGGCCCAAAACATGACTCCATCACTGCCTTGCTGATGTTGCAGCCTTGTTGGAACAGGGTGGCCGTCCACCAACCATCCACTACTCCATCCATCTGGACCATCTAGGGTTGCACAGCACTCATCAGTGAACAGGACTGTTTGAAAATTAGTCTTCATGTATTTTTCTGCCCAATGCAGCCTTTTCTGCTTGTGAGCATTGGTTATTGGTGGCCAAATAGAAGGTTTATGCACAGTTGCAAGACTCTGGAGGACTCTACACCTTGATGTCCGTGGGACTCCAAAGGCACCAGCAGCTTCAAATATCTGTTTGCTGTTTGATGTAATGATATTTTAGCAGCTGCTCTCTTGATCCGATGCATGGATCTGGCAGAAATCTTCCTCAATGTGCCTTTATCTGCACGAACCCATCTGTGCTCTGAATCAGCCACAAATCTCTTAATAGTGCGATGATCACGCTTTAAGTTTTCATGAAATATCGAATGTTTTTATACCTCGTCCAAGGCATTGAACTATTTCACTCTTTTCGGCAGCAGAGAGATCCTTTTTCTTCCCCATATTGCTTGAAAATGGTGCTCTGCTTAATAATGTGGAACACCCTCCTTTTAGTAGTTTTTCCTTAAATTGGGCTCACCGACCAATCTAATTATCACAGGTGTCCGAGATTGTTTTCAGTGATCAAAAGAACCCTGACACACAATGCCATCCATGAGTTAAACTGAAAAACAAAATATTTAATCTTTGTGACACTTAAATAGAATTTGCATAATTTGGAACAGGGTGTAGAGAGGGAATAGGCAAAATTATGTAGTCCAGCAGGCAGAGCTGATTGTGATTTTTAGTGTTGTAGATCCTTACAGGATGTTAAAGGGCAAACTAGATTTCTGGCACATTGTTTTTTTGTATTAGTATTTTTGAAGGCATTCAATTTGGGAAATTTTGGGCATGTATTGCAGGGATGTACTAAAGTGTGTGTGTGTGTGTGTGTGTGTGTGTGTGTGTGTGTGTGTGTGTGTGTGTGTGTGTGTGTGTGTGTGTGTGTGTGTGTGTGTGTGTGTGTGTGTGTGTGTGTGTGTGTGTGTGTTTTTTTTTAGACTAATCCATTTTTATTTTATCTAACGGCTTATCATAATGCTGTGCATTTTATCATGTTTATTTACATACAATAATTTCACAGTTTTTATAACTTTTAGAACCATGTATATGCTGTTGGAGGGAACGATGGTGTTGCTTCCCTATCAAGTGTGGAGAGATATGACCCTCACTTAGATAAATGGGTGGACATTAAAGAGATGGGCCAAAGAAGAGCAGGAACTGGAGTGAGTGAATTACACGGCTGTCTCTATGTTGTAGGTGAGTGTTGGAACTGGGCTGTGATGACTGATAAAATGAATTGATATTGCATGTGACCATGAAAGTGGGATGACCAAATATATTTTTGTGTAGTACAGTTAGAAAAAAAACCTTTAACCAAGTACTGCCTAATAAATGGGGACCTGCATCCAAACATGAAAAGGTGGTTTTTGGTAGAACTTTTTAAATGAACACCCAGACCATGAAATTACAGTTTAAAGGTACTGTAGGTGTGGTGCAAATTCCTTCAAATATTCAGCGGAAAACATTCTGTTCACACATCTATCTTTTTTGGTGCAATGGTATTGTTAATATGGAAACTTATTGTGGCCAAATGCCAATGCTTTATGAACGGCAAACTACATAATAGACTATGCCGAAGCTTGACTCTCTCCTACACATTCCCATTGGCCAATGAGGCTGCCCTTCATATTTTAATGAAGGGAGGAAACTTAGTGGCAAGTACCCAGAAGTATCAGCTGACTCAGGAAGGATTGAGGAGCTGCGGTTGTTTACACCCCCCTAGTCCCTTTAACCTTAATAGGAAAACTAGTGCAACTTTTGTGAGTGTATTTTCTCTATGCAGGCTTTACTTTTTTTTTTTTTTTTTTTTTTTTTTTTTTTAAGTAAATTTTGATGCAGTTTTCACATTTTTCCTTACTTGTATGTGTTGTATTGAATGTGTAGATTACCTATTCTCTGCCACTTCCTTAACAACTGCTGCCTAACATAGAAGATACATGTTCCACTTGGGGAGAGTATTGATTTCAAGTGTTTGTAAAGGCTCAAGGTTGTTTACCTTCATGCATACTATACGTGAATGTAAAGGGCTTTCTCTGTGCAGCAGGCTCCACAAATACCCCCCCCCCCCCCAAATACCTAAGCCCCCTCTCAATCCAGCGATGTGCACTGGAGTCTTGGCAATCCTGGGACTCCCTCTCGTCATTGGCTGAGATAGCAGCAGGAGCCATTGGCCACTACTGCTGTAAATCACAGCCAGTAAGCCAATGAGAAGAGAAAGGGGGCAAGGCCAGACCATGCCTCCGTGTATGAATGGACACACAGGACACTGGGTGCCTCCATAGGTAGCAGCTTGCTGTGGAGGCACCCGACAGGAGAGAGGGGCCAGGAGTGCCAGCGGAAGACCTGAGAAGGGGAGGATCTGGGCTGCTGTCTGCAAAACCACTGCACACAGCAGGTAAGTAGGTGTTATTTGGAAAAAAAAAAAAATGTAACCCTTTAATATCGCTTTCATTGAGTGAGTTAACTTGCATTGCAAGAAGAATAGTTGCTTTACTACATTAAGTGTAATATGAAGTTGATTTGTTATAATTGAAAAACTATATTTCTGTCATCCATTGAAGGTCGCAGGAAGTCATACTGCTGGGTTATATTGCCGCATACGGGAGGAATGGAAACTGGCAAACAGATTGTTGGCCAGCCTAGGATAACCCCTCCTGCTTCCAGGATTGAGCGTGGTTGTCATCCAATGGTTGGAGTGCCTCTTCCTGCTGCTGCTTCATCTTACAAAAGCCACATGATCCTTTGGGTCCCTCCTACTGCCTGGCAGTGACCTTGGTTACTTTTGATTTCCTGACCCTACACCTGCATACTTTAGGCTTTGCGTTTTACCCTGAGCTACATTGTTTGCTACCTTGAGGTGCGACATGCCACCAGGGCGGCAAGTTGCGCTGTACCGGATTCCTCCAGCTCACACTCCACTAACCGTTAAAGCGAATCCGATAAAGATTCTGCAGGGAGAAGGCACAGTAGTATGCTTATGGCCTCTGAGATCAGACAGTCCAAGCCTTAGCTCTTATTGATGCAAACCACTTTAAAACTCAAGGAGCAGCCTGTAGCCTCTGCTAGCACTGTCCTTAGTTTGGGATTTTTGGGTTTCCTGAGACCTTTTTGATGCACCTGCTAGTCTCAGTCTTCCTTCATGGCAAGATGCTTGTACCCCCCAAAGCTCCTATCAGTCTTGTACCCATTTGAGCAGGATTTTGTTAAAAAGTGGTCTGCCCCTTCTGTAGATCTGGCAGGTATAGCATGCATGGATTGTTTGAAGTCTTCTGTCAGTAATCATAAGGAAGAAATTTTGACTAAAGCCATGAACTACAGAGAGTCAAAAAAGCACTTGTTCTACATTACCATCATGAGACATTTGCCTTTTGGGGTCGCCCTGGATGCCCTCCTCAACGCCACAAGTGGCAAGAGTACCTGGGCTTCTTTAGATGAGGAAGAGGCTTCTTTTGGTAGAATGGTTTCTATTCTACTCCATTCTGCTCAGTTCCCCAAAGTGGTGATTAGCCTCCTCCTGGATATCCAGGTCCTTTTTTTAAATGTTTTAATTCTGGACCAGAAATTTGGCATAGAATCTACCATGTATGCTATCAGGAAGACTTTCTGGCCTCTGTGGACATAGTTTGCCTACTTGCCTTTTTTTCATAATCGCTGGTTTACTGGAATTTTCTTTTGGTTCACCTGAATTTTTCAGTTTTTGGCCCTGCCATTTGGCCTGTTGTATGCATCATGGGTAATCACCAAGGTGTTAGCCCTAGTACAAACCTACTCTGTTCTCAAAGCACTTCGTAGGATATTTGGACGACCTGCTGGGGGAACAGTAGGCACAGGTTCTGTAGAAGAATATAGTGCTGACTGTCCAAGCCCTGCAGAGGTTCAGATATCTTTGACTTTCAGAAATTGGTGCTGCAATTGACTGCTTGGAATATCTGGTTCTAGTCCTCCCAGATTTAAGCCACTTCAAACTCCACTCCCAAACTCGCACTCTTCAGTCCAGAAATGGCCCAATTCTCTGCTTTTACACGAGACTCCAGGGGCTGATGTCTTCTGTCTAGGCACTCCCATTTGCCAGCGTCACCCTAGACACTTAGATCACAACATTCTGTCTTTGTGGGACAAGTCAATCCAGTCCTTAGATTGGATTGTCTAGCGCCAAAAATTAGGTTGTCCATGTATTGGTGGCTCAGAAATTCATCTGTGGCATTGGAGGTTCTTTCTTCCTGTCTTTTTGGAAGGTTCTCATGATAAATGCCAGCGAATCAGAATAGGGAGGAGTCCTGGGCACTTTGTGAATACAGGGAACTTGGATGTTGAAGAAATCTTATCTATTGATCCACATTATTGAACTTCTGGTTGTTTGGTTGTCTCTGCAACACTACATATCTCAGCTGGTGAGTCATCTCATTTGGACTTAGCCAGACAAGGCCATGATAGTGGAATACATCAACAGGGCCATGATAGTGGAATACATCAACAGAAGTCTTCATGTGACAAGAGAGGTAGATTGGCAAATTTATGCCCTGGAAATTATCTAATTTTTCACACCTGGAATGTAAACTGCATACAGGGGTAAATCGTAGACTTCCTCATCTAACAGCACCTTGACTTCGGGGAGTGGCCCCTACACACAGGGGGGTTACAGAAATCTGTGTGATAGGTGAGGATGCCAGATGTGGACCTCATGGCCTCCTGCTTCAACAACCGATTGGACAGGTTTGTCTTTGGGTACAAGGATCCTATAGTAGAAGCAGTGGCCCCATATGACCAGTACACCCTAATCTACACATCTCCTCCCCTGAAACTCGCTCCCTCTATGCTTCACAGGATCGAGATGGAGAGAATTTCAGTGATTGCTCCGGAATGGGCAGGACGGATGTGGAACTCTGTCCTGATAAGACTAGTGGGCTCTTCCAGATCATCTGGATCTCCTGTCTCAAGGACTGATTTATATTCTCACTTCACAGTTGATGGTTCAATGGCATGGTTGTTGAAGCCCATGTTCTAAGGTACAGAGGCATCTCAGAATTTCCATGATCCCAAAAGCTAGGAATTCTACTTGCAAGGTTTATCACTACCAGGAAGGCATGCTTTGCTTGTTGCGAGGAGATAATTTTTCATCCCAGGAAATTCTGGGATGAATCCTTGCCTTTTTACATATGGATCTGGACCAGCATTTGGCCCTCAGCCTCATTAAAGACCAAGTCCATGTCTGCCGATCTTGTTCCAGAGACTACTGGATTCTCACTTCTTTTGATCAAGACATTTGTGGAGATTGTTCCATTTGGTTCTACCTGTTTACTTCTGTGATTTCTATGGGATCTGCATTTGGTTCTCTTGGTGATTCAAAAATCTCCTATGTTAATCATACAGTATAGGATACAGGCAAAGTATTAATCTGTTGGTTGTAGGCACGTAACTTCAGGTAATTGGACAATGGCAAAGCTTTCAAGGACACATTCCTTGGGCACCTCCCTTTTTAACTCGACCCCACTCTGTGAATCCTCAGTATTTTTTGCTAGTGGTGATGGACCGCTCTTCCTTCGTGGAGAAATCACTTGGCTTTTAATCCTTTTTTTTTTTTTTTTTTCTTTCCTTCCTTCTATGGATTTCAATAAATTCTTCACTGCCTTTAAGTGCCACAAATAGAAGCAGGATATCTTGATCTTGGTAAACTTTGGGAGCCGTACCAAGACCCCATGCTTTGTGGACAGCTAGTAATGTCACTATATCCTGCAGCGCATTTAGGCAGAAACAGGGTGCTATACAGATCCTGGTCTATGGTGCATCGCTATGGAACCCAGTCCCTGAAGACCCCTTCAGTGGTATGCCCATTGTGGACCTTTTGGTACTGCTTGTTACAAAACTGGGAGCTATGCTGGGAGTAGGAGGTGTTTTCCTGGGCTGTTTTTTTTTTTTTTGTTTGCTAGTGTCCAATCCTGTAGGAAGCAGAATAACCCAACAGTGTACATTTCCTGTGTCCCTTAAGGGATTCCAAAAAAAAAATTCATATTTTTGTGTGTAAAGACCATGTATATTTCTTGAAGGTGGATTTGATGACAATGCCCCTTTGAGTTCTGTAGAGAGATACGATCCTCATACCAACAGATGGGAGTATGTTGCAGAACTCACTACCCCAAGAGGAGGGGTTGGCATAGCAACGCTGATGGGAAAAATATATGCAGTTGGAGGTCATAATGGAAATGCATATCTGAACACTGTGGAGTGCTATGACCCAGTTATGAACAGGTAATTATAATACAACATACAATCTCAGTTGCTCATGTACAATTGCATCACTAGGGCTTGACAAAACCAGGCACCAGTTTTTATATTGCCATGCCTGTAGAGTGGATATTTAAAGGTCTTAAATGCTTTTACCAGGTTGCATATGCAGCAGAGTGATCTGCCTAAGTTTAAGTCGTTTGCTGAAAGGTCTCTGCCAATCCTACCCTATATTTAGTAGACTTATTTCCTCTTCATACAGCCATGGTGCCCAATGGAGGAGTTTGTATAGCTTACAGCTAAAGTTGTATATGTTAGGCCAAGGTTATTAGTAAAAGCAGCTTTTTTTTTTTTTTATGGAAGGATTAAAAGACACACAATGGTTTCAACCTGGCTTATATAGTTGTATTGTTTAATTTTTATTTCTACAGTGCACATCTTTTAGAAAATACACAAGCTCCTGTGCAATGAGTTCTCTTGACATTTTTGTGCTCTCTACCTGACATTTAGATTTTTTTTTTTTTTATATACGGTCAATATTTAAACACTTTGCTGGTTTCTGATAATTGACCACATTCATAGTAGTGCATATTTTGCCTAATTATTTGTTGAGTCCTAATAGTTTGTTCTTTTAGTAACCCTTTGTTCTATTTTATAAATAGGTGGGAACTGGTTGGCTCTGTGGCTCACTGCCGGGCTGGTGCAGGAGTGGCTGTCTGCTCCTGTCTGTGTAGTCAGATCCGGGACATTGGCCATGGATCAAGCAATGTAGTGGACTGCATGTGAACACTCTACAGACTGGAATTAACAACATTTAATAACAAGACTGCTCTATTTTGGATTAATTTAAATCGCTGCTCCAGGCAATCAGACCTGAGTGCCAGCAAACCGATATAAAGTATAGAAATGTACTTTGGGTTTGGCACAATGTGATGAAATGAAGGTTGCACTAAAGCTACACTTGTGCTTTTGTGACAATTTGTGGCTGTGACGTGTAGTAACTTGGCAATACTTTTTAACTGTTTCTTCTCAAAGTCTTGATACATATGCCTAGGTTTAGTAAGTATTACACCTAGTAAGTTATTTGTTGAAGTGCCAAATGCTATTTGTATAAAAATCTGCACATTTTCTGCAAAAGATATTTTTGTGTCCTTTGTAAATAATATGCATTGTTTTGAAATTTAAATGTGTATATATAGATGTCTATTTATTAAATATTTTTGTTCATTGTGGAATGGCATTACACTAGTAGTGATGTTAGATTTGCAAAATTAATCTAAAATTAAAGTTGTCTTTATAAATTTTTGTCAGCCGTTTCATAAGGTATATCTTAAATTGCAACCATGTGTACAAAAACAAATTTACTGTTCTTTCCAAAGACCATATTTCTTTGGATGCAAAAATATTCACGTTTTGTCAGAAATTTTGATTGATTCATGCGAAGGACCCACAATCTGACACTTTTTTTAGGCTAGGCAACCCAACTAGCATTTAGGTGTATATTTGGGCAAAAAATGTACCTACCTTATATCCAGAACACAACAAGGCAACACTTGGAATAAAGAACACATGCATTGCCTTGCTCTGGGGTACAGCTGTGTCTTGGCTATGGGTGCCAGTGAATACACATACACTGGGTGTTCACATGTATGATAAGTGATCATCAGCAGAAATGTGAATGCAGCCGGCTGTACACTGATTGATTGAAATTAATCCGGTTGAGCGGGGACTGGCCAAATTTCGATCAGCGTGTGCCAATCTGACAGAAGAAAAAAATTTTGATAAGCTTCTTCTTTCAGAGTGCAAAGGGACATGTTAGGAAAATGTTCCTCGATCATTGATTGCAGCTGCTGATCAGTGTATTCTGACAGCAGCAGATGTCACTGTTTAAAATCCAATGTCCTGGTGGAGGGGATTCCTCCATCCACCGTGTTTGTGTAGATGTAGGAATGCGTAGGAATTTTTTTTTTTTTTTTTCCTTTTTTTTTTTTTTTTTTTTTTCTTCATCCAGTGGACTGAACGAAAAAAAAAAGTGTATGGGTAGCTTTAGACTTCATCATTTAGTGCTACCTTGGAAAATGGGATGGTTATGTATACTACTTATTGAACTGTACCTAAAATGGGAGAGAAATATCCTATACAAGCAATAGCTGAGTGTTTTTAGATGTGTGGGAGAGCCATTAAGAATTATGGACACCCCTGTGCATCTGCTAAAGACTAAATCAAAGTGCATTTTCAGATGCATGAAACCGCATCGTTCAAAAACACCATGCAGGGCTGCAGTGCCTGCGCAAATACAAGCCGCAGGAAATGCTTAGAAGGAACCTAGCTTTAGCTACTACACTAGGGATAATTTTGCAGTTTTTTTTTTTTTCGTTTTTATTTAAACTGAGAAGCAAAGGTATTGGCACAAGTTATTTCTCGCACAGTGTAATGACTAGAAATTGCTCATGCAGTGGAAACCTAATGCAAGGGAAATACATTGGCTGGCATTGCTGTCTCTATTGCAATACTTGTTGCATGGCTCTCTGGCTTCATTACTTTGCTGCATGGTTTTTATATGCAGCATTCTTGCTTAGAAAAAGCACATAAATATACTACATGGTTTTTGCTTTCTTTCGTTAACGCCAGTTAATCAAAGATACACGCAAACTTGCACATGTAGGAAAATACAAGACATACGGACAATCTAACCTCATTAAAAAATGAGCATTGACAATTCTCTCTATGCTATAGCTGCAGCATTTGAAAAGTTCACACAAGAAAACGGATATAAAAATCTGTTTTTAGAAGTAAAAAATCAAAGTCTGAAAAATACATCTATTGGTGTAATTATCTCAATGGTAGTAATGCTTTCTGTGCGTCCACAATAGTCAGGAACTGTTTTAGGGGCTTATTGGCCATACATCAGGATGTTAAGTATTTCCCACATAGGGGTTTTGGCTTCATGCATCATTCAAAGCAGAAACCAGAACAGGTCAAAATAATACCAAGTTTCCTGGCTCCTCTTCAACAGCACTGCTGTTCAGTTCTTTTGCTTTGGTCCTGCAGACTTCACCTCTGCTGAAGTAGTACAGTTGCAGTTTTCTGAGCTCTTCAGTTGCAGCTGCTTGCTACATGGGCCCACATCCTTGCCTCTCCGGGTTTTTGCTGGATTTACTGTCTTGACTTGGTCCTCTGGAATTGCTCAGTGGTCTCGACTCTTGTCTTGTTTTCAAAGAACCTCCTAACTCCTGAGTACACCTGTCTGCTAACGGAAGCCCTCTGCTATGGCCAGGCTTGTGATCATGATTGTACGCATCTGCACACACACAGCCTGATGGACCCCAGTAAGAACTTGACACTGGGCTAGAGCCTTCTTCCCTCCAAAAGTTCTTCGAAGCCTCAAACTCAGGATTCCAATCTGGGAATACCAAAACTGGAAAATCATCTTTTTCCATTCAGCACAAAAATTCCAGAGCCCCTCAGTCTGACATAACACACAGGTTAGTGACAATGTTCAAAATGGAGTCACAAACTAATAAATCTGTTTGTTGGCAGTTTTAAGTGTTGAGTCACATAGTAAGCAGCTAGATAATCCAGCAATAGTAGTTTTTTTTTTTTTTTTTTTTTTCCTGACCCTCTGTAGATCTTAAGGGTATGTGTCCCTATCAACTGCAGCATATGATGTGCAGCTTTAGGATAGACTACAATGGCCAGATCCCTTAGAAACTGTTTCATATAGGTTGGTCATGTGAATGCATGACCAGCATTAAGGTTTTATGCACAAAAGCTTTACTTTTGTCCCAGTCGTGACACAGACTTCCTAGTAAGGCATGGTTCAACAGCTGGAAATATACTGAGGGTTATGTCTGAATGGAAATGTTACAGTGCCAGGTCCTTTGCTCAAGGGAGGTGACTCTCTGTTCTAGCTATCCATATGGCTTCAGAACTGTCAATGATGTATTGTTTTCAGAGGCAGAATTCGGTAGTGGTAGGTTTCCTTTGGTGTGTTTGGTAGTTCTGTTTTTTTTTTTTTTTTTTTTTTTTTTTTTTTTTAAATGTTTATTGATAAAGTCCTTGAGGAAAAATGTTACAGCACTGTTTGGGCAGGAATGCTATTTTGGTGCATGCCTAAAAAAAAAAAAAACCTGTAACATTGGCAGTGCTTGTATGATTTTATATGTGCATATTGGACAAAGTAACATGCTTTCAGATTATTTGAGGAAAGAAACACGTGTATTTGGACCAGTAAAAGAAATTGTGCATCTTACAATTATTTGTATGGTGATACTCACAACCACCGCCCATAACCTATTCCAATTCTAGGCCTGTTATAGCCTTGTCTAAACGCTAGGATTGCTTTATGTAAGGCACTTGCTCTCCACAAGGTGGCAGTGACTGACAGATCAAAACGTACAGCTGGTAAACTAAGTATTGAACACGTCACCAGTTTTCTCGACAAATACATTTCTAAAGGTGCTATTGACATGAAATTTTCACCACATTTTGGTAACAACCAATGCAATCCATACATACAAAGAAACCAAATCAAGTAAGTTCAGAAATTAAGTTGTGTAATAAATAAATTTCAGTCATTGTGTTCAATACTTTTCCCCTGTGTCATTCCATTTTAATACTTTGTACAAAATCCTTTGGTAATGACAGTAAAACTAGTCTCATGCATTGATCATTTGTGATTTTAGCCCACACAGTCTTCAAATCTTAAAGATTCCGTGGGCCTCTTCTATGAACTCTGATCTTTTAGTTCTTTCCATAGATTTTCTGTTGGATTCAAGTCAGGTGATTGGCTGGGCCATTCTAGCAGCTTTTTTTTTTTCTTTCTTTTGAAACCAGTTGAGAGTTTCCTTGGTTTTGTGTTTGTAATCATTGTCTTGCTGAAATGTCCATCCTCGTTTTAGCTACATCCTGGTAGATAGCGGCAGATTTTTATCAAGAATTTCTTGGTGCATTCATCCTTCCTTCAATGATATGAAGTTTGCCAGTACTGTATGCAGAAAAACAGCTCCACGCCATGATGTTCCCACCTCCACATTTCACTTTTGGTATGGTGTTTTTGGGGTGATGTGTAGTGCCATTTGACCTCCAAACATGGTGTGTATTATGGCATCCAAAGAGCTCAATTTTGGTCTCATCTGACCAGACTATATTCTCCCAGTATTTCACAGGCTTGTCTGAATGTTGTGCAGCAAACTTTACACAAGCTTCAACATGCTTTTTCTTCAGCAATGGAGTCTTGCGTGGTGAGCGTGCATACAGGCCATGGCAGTTGAGTGCATTACTTTGTTGCTTTTGTACCTGCTAATTCCAGTTCTTAAGTTCTCCACAAGTGGCCCTTGGCTCTTGAACCGCTCTCTTTTTACCCCTCTGTCTGAAATCTCGTGAGGAGCACCTGGCCGTGGACAGTTATGGTGAAATTATGTTCTTTCCACTTCTGGATTATGGCCCCAACAGTGCTTACTGGAACATGCAGAAGTGTAGAAATCCTTCTGTAACCAATGCCATCAGCATGTTTTGCAACAATAAGGTTGCAAAGGTCTTGGGAGAGCTCTTTGCTTTTACCCTTCATGAGATGTTGTGTGGTGTTTTTTTTTTTTTTTTTTTTTTTATAGGCCATCAGTTGAGACTGAACTAGCTGATATTAATTTGCACTGACAAGGGGGAGGGTTGCTTTCTAGTTACTGATATCAGCTGGTATCTTGGCTTTCAGTGTATTTGAACACATGAAGAAAGAGAGGTGCAAAAATGTTTTTCCCTGTGTCATTCCATTTTATTACACATAACTT